ACTAAATATATTATAATATTATTCTAGAAGTTCATAGAGCACAAATAGACATTTTATGCACTAAAATAAAAGTTTCCAGACACAATTCAGTGATCCAAGAGTAAAAGTGAAAGAACCTGTGACAGACGTCAGCAGCTACATTATGGAGATGTACATCATATATACAGTGACTCATGCAACATCTCTGTATTTGTATAGGAGCCTCTGTTCGAAAATCATCTGAGTTTGCAGGTGGATCTCAAAGGAAATACCTGTGACATTGAAGTTGGGGGCCACTTTGCTGTCTGCTAGGGTAAACCAGATGAGTCCCAGACTCATGCAGAGAGCAGCAGACACATCAGCCACATTATAGCGTTTACCTGGGACATAAAGATGGAGAAAAACGTTATTTAAAATATCTTCTATTTTTATTTTTCAAGCCTTAAATCTAAACCTATTTCTTTTACTTGTCACCTACAAAAATCAGGCAAAGTTTTTAAGTTTTTAAGTTTTTAAAACTACACCAGCATGAAATCTACACTTTAATGTATGATATGTGTAACATCCCAGGCACAATAAACCAAACAGAGTGTTTCCCCTCAAGCACAGCTTACAAAGAAATCTTTGAAAGATGACGACCCACCTTTAATAAACAGAAGTTGACATTGGACTGAAGTAAAAACACATCACTAAAGAAAGTTTTTGCAACAGATATTGTTCACAACTTAAAGTTTCTTGGGCTGTGCATGCAAGAATGAAAAAGGAAAAAAAAACTGTGAAAATGAAGAAGAAAAAAAAACGTGGGAGGAAATAAAACAACAGGATGAAGGAGTCTTTCAAAAACAGGCTGACGGATGGATGCCTTGAGGTTGACGGGGGACGTGGCATCAGGTTGTGGTCGGCTTTGATTCCCTGACTCGTCTTTGAAGGGCCTCACATCAGATGCATCCCCACACCCCTGCCTCCATCTATCCATCCATCCATCTGTTCATCCATCCCTCTCTCCCACTTTCTTTCCTCTTTGCATTTGGAGTGAACAAATTCTGTTTTCCACTCGACCCCCTTGAGGGACCGTGGTCCTCACATCTATTCATCCAGAGAGACGCAAGGAGGCGGGTGAAAAAACATAAAGAAATAAAAAAATAAATGCACGAAACCCTTCTCACGTTCAGGACGTTGAACCTTGTGAAGGCCAGTGTGAGGATGAAAGGACAGACAGAAGTAAGAGCGGGGAAGAAACTGCACGTACTGCCGACCGGGCCCTCACGACAGAAAACAACAGACGTGGATGAAAAGGATGCACTGAAAGTTGAAAGGTGGTCACTGCTTCAAAGGAAATATGTGATGAATGAAATGAGGTGGAAAAAATGAATCTACTTCCCCCCCCTGTAAATGATGATGTAACATTCACTTTTATTATATTCTGAATAATAAAAAAAAACCATTTTCAGTTATTTTGAAAAGACTGTTACCTCATGTGCCAACAGATTTGAGCTACATGTACGATTACGGTTTTGTTGAAATGATGAAAACTTAAGAGATTACAGTAACAGGTTCATGCTCTAAGGCGATCTCCTGAAAGCAGGAACCTTTAAGCTGACCCTAACTGTTGATTTACATTTGAACAAGGCCAATTAAGCTTTTATATGCCAACCCAAAAAACAAATACCAGACTAAATAAATATACCATTCAAAAAAGTTAAAGGAAAACTTTGAAAACAAACCAAATCCCAGTGGGGAAAAAAATAATACTGATAGGACTGGATAATGTGTTAGGAATAAAAGGAGCCCCAATGTGCTTGTATGCATCCCTGACAATATCAGGGGAATACTGCTAAAGGAGATGAAGGATGGAGTCTTGGGGGGGGGGATCCCCTCCCAGTTCTGAACCATTGCATCACAGAGCTTCTGGACAACTTGGCGACATAAGATGGACAGAAACATAATGTCCCAGAGGTGTTCTCTTGGATTTAGGTCAGGCGAGATTCGTCAATGTTATCACTTACTTACTCCTCCAGGACCTGCCTATAAATTCTCACTGCATGAGGCTGGGCATTGTTGTGGACCAAGAGGACCAAAGGACCCATTGCACCAACACAGAATCTACTAATAGTCCAAGGATATTATCTTGATACCTAATGGCAGCCAGGATGCTGCTCACTAGCCTGTAGATGACTGTGCGTCCCTCAATGCATTCACCTCCCCAGACCATCACTGACCCACCACCCAACCAGTCATGCTGCATGATGTTTCAGGCACCATAACGTTCTCCCCAGTTAATCCAGACCCTTTCACATGTACTCAAAGTACATGCTCTCTGCTCCCATCTACAGAGCTAGGTGTCTAGAGGATGTCAGTCCCTCATGCCACCCTCATGAAATTTGCTTCTAATTATTTGGTCACACCAGTGGCCTTCTGGAGGTCACTTTTTGTAGCTCTGCACATCCTGCACAAAGGAGCAGATACCAGTTCAGCTGACGGGTTGTGCATATTCTACGGTCATGTTCAGCTCTCCTAAAGTAACTGTCTCACCCACGCTTTTAAGACTGTGCTGGGAAGCATAGCAAACCTTGTGGCAATCAAACGTATTAATGTGTCATCCTGGAGGAGTTGGACTAACTGTACAACCTCTGTAGGGTCAAAGTATCATCTCATGTCATCAGTAGTGATACTGATTCTAGCCAAATGCTAAAAATAGTTCTTTTAATTTGTTGAACGGTTTACATAACACAGGAAATCTCCTCAAATTATTTTACAATGAGAAAGGCATAGAAATGGTCTACAGAGAGCTGCAATACTGATGCCCGCGGATCATCTAGTAGCAAGGATGAAGACTTTGCAGAGCAGGAACCAAAATACACACAATACGCACACTGTAAATAAGTATCAACATAGGAAGCTGACCTTGTATAAACACTCCTCCAATCATGACTGGGATGAGTTTACAGCACTTGAAGATGACCTGTGTAGGGTAGTTCAAGTAGCCCAAAGAGGTATTTGACAGGCCCATAGTGCCCACCGTTAAAAATGCTATAATCATATAGGTCTTCCCTGGTATCCTGGAGGAGATGAAATTTAAAAAAAACAAAAAAAAAACAAGGAAGAAAAAGTCAGACACAAAATGTGTTTTACAGTAAAGGCTGTCTTCTGGGAGGCAAAGCATAATCTGTTATCATACCTTCTGCGTTTGTCCTGTGTGAGCTGAAGCTCTACTAATCCAAACATGGAGTAGAAGCCAAACTGGACCAGAGTGAGGTACCAACCAAAGGGCTTGAATCCTTCCACAGAAAATATTAACTCCTATATTGAGGGACGAATATAAAGACATAACAAAACACGCTTAATAGCCTTGTCTCAGTTTTATTTAATCAATATATTCACATGTTATCACGTTGAATAACACATGTAATTACTGCATTTTTACTGTATTACTATACGTGTGTGTGTGTGTGTGTGTGTATAAGAAGGATCGTAATCCCCGTTACCTGTAAGTATCCATACATGAGGTAAAAGAAGAAGACTCCAGCCACACAAATAAAGAACTGTGTGGGTGCACTTAAGCTGCTCAGGTTGATCCCCAGAACCCTCAGCTCCTCCACAGACTTTATATGAGGTGACATCACCTCTGTAGACGAGGGGATGGAGATTGAAATGTGCTTCCGTGAACTGTTGTAGCCCACCAGGCCATATTTGGCACTCATTGTGTCAGCGCCTGCTGGAAGCTGCAGGGACATAAAGAAAGATTTGATGCTCCTCCTTTATGATGCTTCGGCATAAAGCACAGACTGCAGCTTTGATAAGAAGATAGCGAAAGAGCTCACAGAGGCATTTCATCATTACTGTGTATACGAAATGCAGATTGATACACCCTTCACACTGCATGCAGTTGAGAAACTAGCATTAGGCAGGCTAACCTAATATTCCAAAGTAGAAAATGAAGGATGGGGTGGATAAACTAAGCCTGGAGCTGAGTTTTCATCACATCGTGTAAGAAATGGTGACCATTCACTGGGTCATTTTTATGATGACAGTAAAAAAAAAAAAAACTAGAGTGGCTGTGCCATCAACAGAAAGACCTGTTGAACACGTTACACCATGGGAACTGTGCTGAAATGAGGCGACTAAATGAAGCCATATTCTCTATTATATGAGTATGCAAACGATCCTTGCAGGCAGTGCAAAGCAAACAAGAGAGTAAACACTTAAGCAAAAATACCAGGCGAGGTTTTAGTGATGCAGTATTTTCGATACTTCGTTATTGAGCATGCACATATTATTGTCACTGATTCCCCATATTCTTTTAAAGACTTCTTTTCATTTTTTTCATTCTAAACTATGAGAACTGCTAGTGATCACTACTCTGACTCAAATCCACTCAGGATACGTTGCGGCCAGTGATATTCTGCCACGAGTAAAACCACTGAATAGCATTCACCAAAGCATCCACCACATTAAAGCTGTGCTAAATGAAAAAACATTATAAAAAGAGACTGTTCTTACCCCTGTTTAAATAGCCGGTAACGGTAGCTAGGCTACGAAGCAACCCGTTTCTAACGCCATGAATACTGAATGGAGGCTGTCATTTGATCAGAGAGCAACGATTAACAATCCAAAGACGCAGCTATTAACGTCATCTTACCACACGTTTGCTGTTAGCCACACATGTCGCACCTGACATAGCTTTATCATTCACCAGAGTAAGCTACAATAGCAATCTCGTTACCTTCAACAACACTTCCGGGTGTCTTTACGTGCTCTTATCCCCAGTCTCAGAGGCAACACCGGTGAAAATCATTCCCCTCGACTTGCTCGGCTTCATCTTTCACACACTCCGAACATTTTCATGTTTTTGGTCCTCAGTGACAAAAAGGCCAAAAATGCGCTTACAAGCGTGCTAGCCTGCTAAAGGCTACATGCATTTGCAGGGATGGCAGGCTAGAAGCAGCCAACAACTTCCGCTCGGCTCCGAACTCTGAACTGCGCCGCTATTGGTCAGCGGAGACAGGCACTGCTTCTGCAGGTGGCTTGTTTCACGTTTTTTAGCTCCCGTAAAAATAACAAAAATGTATTGGTCGGTGCCGTCCTGTCGATTCGGCACAAACACAACAGAAGTGAATTATTAGCTGCATTTAATAGGAGAAAGACCTGACGGGCTGTAATACGCTAGCTTACCTGGGCAGAGGAGTTCATCATGAATAGGTAGGGTACTGTTGCTGTCGCTGTCCACATCATCAGTGACACACAAGCACTTCTGGTTAATCCTGCTGAGTGACGGTCTGAGGTGTCAGTTTTCATTTTACTTTCAATTTTAAGAATTTATTTTTTTATGATAAAACTATTATTTTGAAAAGGGTCAAATTATGTACAGATATAAAGTTGAAGTCAACCAGGATAAAGGATAGTCAAATATAACGTAGAGGTGTTTTGTTATTTTGATGTCGTGCTATGTTGCACCTCTAACTTTGCTAGCTTTTACTTTTTTTCCTTTAAAAAAATATTTTTAACTTTTTTTTTAACATCCAATACTGCAGTTAGATGGGAGAATTTCTAGGTTTATATTTTATTTAAATTTTTTAAGTATGATTTAATTTTTACGCTATCACCTTCAAGGTCATCTCCTTGTGCATTTCTTCCAGCGTTCCTTCACCTGCGTCACTCCGTGGAGGTTTAGTTTGGACAGCTTCACGCAGCTGTGCAAGCTCGTGAGAGCAAACATCAGCTTCTGTGGTAAGGTATCAATCAGATCCAAAGTGCATGTAGTGGAGCATTGCTGGTGGGGGGAATTTGGTCTCCAGTTAAGGCATTAAAGGTGCATCACATCAGGAAACATGTTCAGCATTTGTCCCCAGAGGTCAGCCTGTGGAGGCAGAGCTCTTTCATAACGTCTTGAGCTGTCTGAAGGAAAGCATTTAGTAGAAGTGACTTGAACCGTGGTGTTTGCCGTTTTCCATACTGTACCCACTGAAAAAAAGCATTAAAAAAGAGCATAGTAGTTTTCCCCAACCCGACGTAATTGTCCCTCAACACCTGGCAACCCTAAATCCCCATTTTGATCTCTGATCATTGTTAAGCTTCCACGTTGATGCTTTATATAAGAATACTCACAGGACTTTTAGATTGCATGTCATCCACCATCGACACTTTTGCTATTGATACTTTACTTGATATTTAACTGTATAAACATTTTTCTGCTATCATTCTGGATGATTTAAGTTAATTTTTGATGGAGTTTAAGTATCAACGGTGGAGATACTGAAGCTGTAGCAGTACTCATTCTGACGTTTAGGTGTCATATAAGTATTGTTACCGTGCAGGACAGCTTCACAAGTCAAATCATTCTCTATTGTCCTCAACAACTTTTTCCCCTGATTTTCTACATTTCCTCTTTCCACCATTCCAACAGTCTTCCACCTTTATCCTAGTATATTTTCCCATCAGCTCTTCTCTCCCTTCACCGTGCTTTCATGTTCATATAAGCTTTGCTCTGCATCACAATTCTTTTGCTCTTCCCTCCCCTTATTGCATTATCCCCTCCTCAACCTCCTCTGTTCTGTCTCTGTCTCTTGGCCATCTCATATCCCTGCCTCTCCCTCTTTGGTTTCCCCGGCATAAGGCATGAAGCTCTTTTTTTGCCCCTTCATTTCCCTCCTCTCTCATCTAGCCTTCCTTTCTCCCTGCTGTCCAATCTCAAATCCTTCCCTCTGCCTTTCTCTCTGTCTCTCCCGCTCTCTCGCTCCCCCTGTCCTCCTTCCCCAGCCAGAGGTTAATACACTCCAGGATGGCATTATTTCCTCCCCAGCCCTCCGACAATATAAAAATTCAGAATGGACAGCTCAATCCCTCTTCCATCTCAGATTTGATTGTAATGGTATTGCCTCCTGTCCCTGGGAGGCCCCTGCCGCCTCGCCAACCCAGCCTTTATGACACTAAATGGCCGGGCTACAATTTTTCCATCTTTTCAAAAAATTCTGTTAATAACTCATTTGGAATGAGCCGTCGACACTCCCTGGGCTGTCTGCGGCCAGGTCTCTCACCTCTCTGCTCACAGGGGTCACAATATACAGAAAAAGATGCAGGGCTGAATCGCAAATGTAAAAGGTTAATTAATCTCCCTGAATTTACAATCCCATTCCCCGCGCACTCCAATCGACAGTCCCACAGAGACAAAAATGTCATATTTACAACCTGGCATGGAGAAAAGCACTCAGCAATGCACAGTTGTCGAGCACAGGCGAAGGCCTGTCCGACCACTTTTCCTTCCCCCCGTCCAACTTTACAAGTGCAACCATTCATCTCGCATGATGGATTTATGTAATAAAACCCATTTCCTTTTCCCATACGATCCTATTAAATAATAAAATAATTATTTATTGATTATTCAAAAAGGTACATATGCGCGGGTAATGGCTTTGTACCACACCACTGGACCCGCAATAAATAAAGCAGGCAATGGGAAGGCTTGAGAGGGACAGAGGAATAAAGCAGGGAGAGAGGGAAGGGGGGGGGGGATGAAATGACTTTTGAACTAGTGAAATCTGGATCCAATATGGCCTCTTGCAGTACAGATCAGGAAGGACATTATTCGATCTTCAGGAGGCTCATGTGGGAGTGCGACCTATGAATGTTTTTAATATTGTAAATCGACCATAGAAATTAGACTAGACAACTGGGTCACAGAGTTTCTCCTAAACGATGGCAAACACCAGTTTTCTTTTTCTGACCGGGTTACGAGTGTTTACTGTTTTGCACGGATACAGTGAACACCTGATAAAGCACACGATGAAAAGTTAATTACAGAGTTGGAGCTAGGGGAGGCTAAAAATGTCCATTTTAATAATTAACAGACTCTTAAAGTGTTTCTTTTAGAACTTTTTGCTACTAAAATATCTTATTGAGCTACACTGAGCTGTCCAGTAGTGTCCGAACAAAGACATTTTTAAAAAAAATTTTTTTTCAAGAAAATAATCTCATATAAACACCCTGCCCTTAAATGGTACTTCATTTTATTTTATTTATTATTCACCATCAGTGTCATAAAAAAAGCCCCTCTGCCCAGCCGTGGATCATTTCAAAAGAGACACTTTAATGTCAGCCAGATATTACATTGAGGGCTTCTTAATAACCCATTTGTGTTTGGTCTTATCCTCGGCTAAAGTGCACTCGCTCTCCGTTGTCTTTTTCCTGGGCTTGTCTCAAGCCTCCTGCATGCTACGGAAAACAGATGCTATCTCGGCTATATTACTTCTCAAAGCACTCATATCCTCTCCCATGTTATTTTCTTTGATCTGCTAGGCTTGCTGCTCTTACATTTTTTTCTCAACCCACCCTCCCCACCACCACCACTACCACTCCATCTTCTATCCTCTCTGCCAGAGTGCAGAGGCAAACCGGCCAGACTGGTTCACGGTGGTTGTGGACCTTTCAAATTCACCTCATCTGTTCTCTGTCATCGGAGGGCACGAGGGGCACGGTGTGTCGGATCTCTTAGAATCTCCGTTTAATGAGCCTGCACCATCAGAGGACAGAGTGTCAGCTTACATCCAGTGAACACGTTAAAGCAACAACTCCTAAAGTGTTAGGATTTATATGTTTTGTAAAAGAAAAAAACAGCAACAGTTTGATGATGGATAAGTCCAAAATCTTCTTTAGTTCCAGTGCTTCATACTTGTCCAATCATAAAGAACACAACTGTTTTGTGTAAGAAGAAGAATTTTAGTTACAAGTTGCTTTGAGTTGATGGGAACTTTGCAGAAAGTTTGGTTGAAGGTAAACTTTCACAAAAACAAGTTCAGGCTTTGGCCCATTAAAGCGGGTCATATCAGTACCTTATACTCATGCATCTGTAGCAATACAATTTAGAAATAATGCCTGATCTCGTTGGTAAAGACTATACTTTTTTTTTCTTTTTGACATTTTTACCTTTAGAGAGCTGAGAGTGAAGAGAAAATAAACACAGGGCTCAACTTAAAGTAGAATGACATACATTAAAAGTCCCCAGGCATCGATCCGGAGTTATAGCCTCTACTGTACCAGGTTCGTTCTTCAAGTTGTTCCCACAAAAAAAACAATAAACATCCCTTCTTTTTCCACCGGTCGACTTCCACCGGTTTTCCCGGTCAAGTTTCTTTCAACAAGTCAAACATCCAATTGAAGCATCGCTTCAATTGTTCAACCTTACATTGAACATCAGTGTGTTTTTTCCAGGTTTTACAGTAACATTTAAACACACATGCAGTTTTTAGGCTTATCTGTCCACATGCACAGGTCATAAGCGGTAAAAAGAGAGTTAACGGGGGCCACTGAAGGCAGGCACAAGAGACCAAGGAATCTCTGACTTTCTTATGAGCAGCCAGGAGGGGGAAGCATCCCTCTTTGCAAGTGTGCTTAGAAGAAAAGGAAAGAAAAAGTAATTAAGCAAACAATTTACCAGGAATTGTGTGTCTGCTTATCCAATCTACCGTACTCGCTTTTGCTCTAATACATACAGACAGAAAATGGAGGTGGGGGTGTGGGGTGCGGGGGGCGCAGATAGATTGTTTTTTGTCTCCTCAGAGTGACGGTAAATGACACACATGTTTCATTGCCCATTCATTTAACCTGCACTGTGCTTATGAAGAGAAAGGGATTGCAAAACAAATTACGTAGTGTCATTTAATTAGGAGTTTGGCTGTGAGCAATAATCCCGTTTTTTCTCATAACCTTTAACTACTTAATGGATTTGAGAAGCTATTACCTTTCAAGATTTCCGTTTTTAATTATTTGGAGTATTGTCACAGATATGAAATGTCAATCACACTCCGGGATTAATGCTGCGCTTTATGACTGAATATTATTTACTTATGGGTTGAAGCTGGAGGAGCTCTCTCATCTGACAGGTTTGCAGACGCAACAGAACTTTGCAATATGCAAAATTCTCTCCGTGTCGTTTATGCTCCCATTTGCTAACAGCCTAATTCTAAATCCACGAGAGGCCATTATTTACTTAGATATTATAATTATGTTTATGATAACGGCAAGCCACAGTAAACCTCATAGTAATATTAGAAGCGCTCTTATGTGAAACTTGGATTGGATTATAATAATGACTCAGTTTTAATATGTACAAACTCAATTTATAGCTTCCCTCCTTTGGCGTTTATACTGCAGGTGTGCGTGTGTTTAAAACATAATCCGTGCGCTATGTGTGCATGTGTGTTTGGATAAGTCCTCTGCAGAGGAACTACCTCTCACCCTGATCACGTTTAAGGCAACGCTGTGAAAGTAGCAGAGAGAGTTTGTTTAGTTTCCCCTGGAGGACATCGCAGTTCTCTGCCAACAGACCAACCCACGTACTGTGACGCTAGGCCTGACTGTGTATACAGATATCTTAAATACATGAGCCATCTGAGGTACCCTTGATTTTTTTCTTCTTCTTCTTCTTTCTTTTTTTTTTTTGCCAGATACTCACAGGACCACAAGGGCATGTGTCCCGATCTTAAATCAGCACTCCTGCTGTGACAGCACGCTCCGTACCTGGACAAAGTGGATAATACGTGTCTATTTTGAATTTTTAAGTAGATCCAAACTATATATATATATATTAGAAGCGCCCAATATAGCTTGTCTGGAAGTTGATAGTTTTACTCGTGCTAATGTCGAGGAGAATAAATGAAACGCACCTCAAGCAGTTCAAATATTCATAGCTTTATTCAAATAGATGTTTTCACCCGGGTTTGACACGGCTCTTAGGCTGGCGTGTTGGCTCCTCAGACCCCCCATGGCATGGGGCATGTAATCATCCTGAAAGTCTCTCTGGGTGTCTGCACTCTCATAAAGCAGGAAAATGGATCGTGTGGCCCAGGAAGGGAAAATGAAAGAAAAGGAGAATGAAATTACAGACCTGGCTGACTGCACAAATCATGCATATCATGTTTTATGGCTTGCCAGAAGAATTCAACACCTGTGGATCATCGTAGCTATAATTGTACATGAACGCACCGGGATGGAGGTGGGAGGAGAGAGTTGTGGTTTGCGTGTCGCTGAAAGTGCGAGCGAGAGTGCGCGCGCGCGTTCTTGTAGGTGTCTGTGTGCTTGAGAGTGTGGTTTTATTTTTTTTCTCTTTTGCTGGCATGACTGGCTTTTAGAGACAGAGGTAAGACGATAAAAGAAAGTTACTGGAAACGCCTGTTGTTCTTCCCCGTATATCCTGGGTGAGCCACCCGCAGCCCACACGGTTCTCTCACAGAGGCTTCATTTACCAATGTAATTACCCTGTTTATTTACCCTACATGCTTTTGGTGGTAAAACGGGGCCAATTCATCAGATCAGGACAATTTGGCCCGGCTTTGGGCTTTTGCCATTTACTTTAATTAAATGAAGCAATCAGTGAATCATAAATCACAGCCGGTGTGACCACTAGCTCTGTTTGAACCCGGTCTTCCTCTTTAAAGCTGACACACCCCGCGCTAAAGCTTAAATTAGACACAACTACAGCCTCTGAAAGCTCCAGTGCGGATTGTAATTCTAGTTTATTATCACTCCTCCAGGTGCACGTGGGCTAACGCTGAAAATCAGTTTTTTAACAATTATTATTATTATTATTATTTAGTCCTAATTGTGTTTTTTTTTTATCATTTTCACAAGTTTTGACACTTTCTTTAAAAGTTGCATGAAAGATGCATGAATAAAGGTGAAACCCCTGATCGAACACCACCACCACCCTCTTCCTCTTCTCTCCCTCCCTTCTGCTGTGGATGCTGATGCTTGAGTCAAATTGATTACACCACTCCATCTGCATCATGACTGGCCTCCTCCTGTGTTTGCCGCCTCTGCCTACAGCACAGAGTTAGTGTACAATTACATATAGTTTAATATATCTGCCTGAGCACCTTTAAATAAGCATCACAAGTCCACAAGGTGATTTGTCTTCCAGCCCCATTACTCCATTGTACATCTTGATAGCCAGGGATCGCTCCTAGCTATGTTTAAGCATTAAATAGTGTATTATTATTTCACATAAATCAAGCTGAGTTGTGAGGGGGGTATTCATAAATTTTGCATTTCTCACAGACAGTATTTTAAAGCCCCTCTCTCTCTCTCTCTGTCGCGCTCTCTCCCCTTCTCCTCCCTGCCGCTCTGAATTTGGGAGACTAAAGCAATTCGGCTCCCTGCACTTGATAGTACATTAAAGATGGGCATATCAGCGAGGTATATTCAAAACAACATGTAATGCAGTTTAGATTAAGTTTGAGTTGCTTTACCACATTCATCATAGCACCGTTTCCATAATGAGCGCCCTTGCTTTTTTTGTCAGCGATGCAGCCCGACACATGCACCGATGCCATCAGAGAACACTGTATTGTTATTGTCATGAATAATGGGGGAAAACAGTAATAAAGCCCATTTATCATAATATTTTCCCGGTTAACCATGGCTACTGAATCTCTTATCTGTGCTCAGCGACGAAAGGACGAAACTCAATTTAAATGTGAGCGTTTGCCGTCACTCTTTTCTCGCCAGGACGAGTTGCAGCCCCCCCGAACACCCCCTTCCCACCGGCCTTTGGATATTAGACTGTTTGCGCAAGACGTCTACTGAGGAAATGACTTCACTCAGGAAGCTGGATGTCAGCTTTGCACACGAGCAGGAGAACTGCCAACGTTACAGTCAGGCCGACAACACGTTCTTTTCTCAGCTCGCGCTCCGGTTGAGTGTAAAGCCTACAAAAAGTGACAAAGGAGGAAATTGGACTCGCGGTTGTTTTGGTTACTCCAAGGACACCTTACACATTCGTTTCTATCTCCAGTCTCTGGCCTGGTTTTCTGATTGGTCCTGACATACCAGTCACAGACCGGTGTGAGGTGAAACTCAGGGATTTGTGTGTGTGTTAGCATTACGAGAATTGTACGGCAGCTCTGCCAAGTCGCCCTAAAGATTACGCCATTAAAAGGTGGAAGATTACACAGTCGTGAATATTTACATCACTGTAAAATAGCTGTGATGCTTGATTATAATATTTATGCTTACAAAATGGTGATTACGTTGGCAGAAACAATGTCTGCATTCTTTTTACTTGCTCTGATGTCTGTGCTCATGCAAAAAAGATGCAGAAGACTTTATAAATTTATCTAAGAGAAAAAAACTACATAAGCCACCCCGCAAAACAAGATATGATGGCTGTCATGTTGTAAAATGGATCAAATTACCTGAATTATGCAGTATTAGTGAAACTTCATGAGTCACTGGGAATCATACTCCTTGCATATTGGTTAGCTTAAATTGTTCAAATAATGCAAAAGTCTCATAAGTTTGACTTTTGTGATTCCATGCTCTCATTGCAACACTACACCACAATTAAAGCTAATTTTCCCTTTTAAAACATGCTTATCATTTTCTGTACCTAATAATTATATGACCCACTGGGCCCCCGGCGGGGCTTCACTGCTGCAACAAAGTCAGTAGAAAAAAAAAGAAGAAAAATCTTGTAAAAGTCAATGCAAATTGGAAACTGACTGGATGCCAGGACAGTAAGTTGAGGATTGGGTTGGGGGAGGAGGAGGAGGAGGGGGGCGAGGAGGGGAAAAAATGTCTTTGAACTAGTTTTTGCTTGCAGAAAATATCGCTCCTGGGTTGATATTCTTTCTGAAGTGTTTCATGGCAGCGAGAATTAAGAAATAAAGCAGAGAGCCAAATGATTCAGTGAAAAGATGGCACACACCCACAGGTATTCTGTTCACATGACATCACCATGCGTAAAATTGACAACTTCAAGTTTTTTATTATTGTGATTTTTTTAAAAAAAATACTTGGTTAGTTTATAAGAACCTCTTCCAAGACAGCAAAGTTGCTCAATTCTTCGTCGGTTTTTTGTCAGTCCGGCAGTTTTCATTAAACACAACTTTACAAAAAGACCTATCAGGGCTTTTGTTCTTAATCGCATCACAGCCGCATGAAGGTACATGTGAACGAGAACTCTTTTTTTTCCTTCCTCCACCTTCCTTCATTCCTTGGAAGAACGTTTGCTCTGACCTTGACATGTGCAGGCTGGCTGGATGTTTTCCTCTCTTCTCAACTCGGCTCATGAACTGGAAACTTTGCTCCTGTCATCTCTCTTTCTTATGATCGCTCTGCTTTCTTTAGCTTACGCACACAGGGAACAGACTGGCGACGGTACCTGGGAGGATAAATGCTCAGTTAAATTGAATAAACACGATCCAGACATGCGCCATTCCGGCCTGTCTGTTGCGGACGATTCGCAGAGATTCCCCGATTCCATCAGTGAAGAAGGTGCAAAGATTAGATGTCAGCCGAGAGAGGCCAATGTCAGATAAAAGAGGATCCACGGCTCTCGCGATAAACGTCATTTTAATCCAACATCAGATAATCAGTGATTTTACTAAAATGGTTTCATAGCTTCCTTTGTTATCTTTTGATGATAGATAGCAGTATAGAGTGCATACGTTCACGCTAGTATTTCCTCTAATTTTTTTTGCACACACCCCTTCTGTTTGCTCGGTTCCTCTCAGTTTAGCAACGTCTTTATCTTAAGGTTGAAGTGAAAATATACTCGTATTTTTCCATCTGTGTAATAGTTTGTAAGTGTTCGATCGGTGTCTAATGCAGGACTTAAGAGGACCCACGCCCACGCGCCCCACCCTCGTAGTCACCATATATGTTTATGCTCCAGATGCTCTCTTGTCCTCTCGTGTTAAAACAAAATCGCCTGTCTATCATCTCACCATAGGTGCACTGGGTGGGGCAGGATTCCAGTCTTTTGAAGCGAACTTGTCATGAGAAATCTGCATCGCCGGGACAGAGTGCAGTCACAGGCACAAGATTAATTGTTTGCGGTGCACCACTTCAAACGTTTTTTTCCAGACGCTCCATTATAATAAACTTTTGCACAGCTCATCATCACCTGTGTGCACACCTGCGGACGGGCACGCTCAGTGAAAATGTCAGTTGTTGTGAAAATACACGCACGTGTTCACGTGCAAGAAGGCGAACATGCACACAAGGGTTCATAGTCATGGAATATATATATACACGTGCGTGTATATGTTTACTTAAAATGTGTAGATCCATAAAATAACTGCATAAATGTATATTGACAACTGACACTCCTCTACACACACACACACACACACACACACAAAAGCATGCACGACTCCGGGCACACTGCAGCAACACAACATTAAGCGGTTTTCTCTTCTCTGTTATCTCCAGCTTCCTTTTTGCCCTTTGGTTAAACATTCTCTTGGCATGCATGATCTCATTTAACTTTGATTTCCTCTTTTTCCAGGACGGCATCCTCGATGGTTCCAATTTCCAGCCCATTCCCCAATTTTCAACCCCAATGACAGACAACACACGCTCGAATGGGTGCTTTGCTAAAGAAGGGAATTGGTAAGTGATGATTTTAAATGCTGTTTAAGATAAAAAGAGGAGTTTTCAACAGATAAGAGTGTGCCTGGGTAGAGAGCAGGAAGCTCGGAGATACCAGTTAGAATGTACTGTTACAGTAGCCACATACCACATGTGTGATTTATGGTGCTGGGCTTCAGATAGCGCTGCAGTAGAAAAGTATTTTTTTCTTTTTTGTCGTTTTGAATAAACTATTACTTTACATTAGATATGAAATATTTCTATAACAGTGTTGGAAAAAAAAGCTTTCATGTTTTTTGAAGTTGTGCTAAAACTCTGAACCTAAAGGGAATATGTAGATAATTAATTTTATTCTTAAAAAAAATCCTAAATTTAAAATGCAAAACCCTCCAATCAGTGTAATTTGAAGGTGAACTGTTGAACTGAACTGACCTGACTGGTGTAACAATAATTATACATATTGCATTCTGGGCTGAAAATAAATACAAATTATTACACCTTTTCCTGAATTGAATTTAGGCTTTGGATGCATAATTTTAGTTTTATAAATTAAAACATAATTATAGCAAATTTTATGTTTTCTTTAAACAATAAAGTTCTTCTGATTATTTTATTACTATCGCAAAATAACTTAGAAGCCTTTCCCTTGAGAAAATCTGTAAAATTAAAAATAAGACAAAGGATGGATCCCCAAACAATGACAATATTTATTTAATTTGTTCCTCTTCAGTGTGGACAATTTGTCCAGCATGAAGTGCTTTTTTTGTTTTTTCCTCTTGGTTGAAAAGAGCAGCTCATTGTAGAGCTTTAAGTGGTTTGTGTAATCCCCTATAACCTATACCATGAAGCCACAGGATTGTGAAAATCTGTTTTCAGCACATTTTGAGTAGGAGCGAACCTGGGAATTCTCTCTCTCTCCCCCTCTCTCCCCAACTCTGTCATGAAACAGAGCACCCCATTTCCATATCAATCGGATTAGTTCCAAGACCAGGCAAGTAGGAGTAATGTAAGTAACCGTACAAATTTAAATATAGGACATCAAAAACATTGTTAGGCATTCATTTATTTTTGAGGCAGCCCTGGCTCTCTGTTTCCCTCTGTGAAGATGAGATGAAAATGTATCTCCTTAAATTTATTTTCATTTTATTTTGAAAGGCGCTCAGCACCATAGTATTTTTATTTATTTTTTTTGCCATTTCATGTGCACCATGGCACCCCGCAGTTTTTCTGCGCTTAACCTCTTTTGTGAAATGAATATGTCATATCGAGCAATCCACTTGTTCAGAATGCAACGCCGAGGCGATTTCAGGTGGGCAGCGTTCACGTTCACACGGGAATGGACGCTAACAGTCGTGGGCCGTGGACTCCTGTGGTATTTCAAGTCACGGTTAAACATTTAATTGATAATGGAGTTACACAAGTACATTTTCACATTTATTTTTTTTTCATACTGTAGATAAAATAAAATATGTTGAACTTTGCGAGTGTTTTTATTACTGGGATTACAGGTTGGTTGGTTTCAATAATATTGCAACAGCAGTGAAAAAGTGAAAAATCAAACATGATCTGATGAGAGACAATAATGTCATAAATCGTAAATGCTGCACTTTTAATTCTGGTGTTTTTTTAATTTTCAGACTTTAAAGCAAAGAATTCCATTAAACTTGTTGAGGAGTTTCTACAAACGACACTGTTGGCTGTGTGTGTGTATTATTCCAGATTACAAATTATCACCTTTTTAACTGCACATAAAACAAAATCTCTGAGTCAGAACCAATAAAAGGAGAACATTTGTTTGGAGCACTTGCTCTGAGTGGCAGGAATTGGGAGGTCATCGTGTGTGAGAGAGTATCGGAGAGATTATTCAGCAGTCCGTGCTGCTGACTGATCAGACGGCCCAGAAACTCCCTGTCCGGATGTGGAGATAGATAGATGGATGCCTGCCTGTGCTTCCTCAGCCCTTTATAACTTAGCCCGTCTCTCTCTGTAATTGAAAAACTAGCTAGGCTGTTTTGTCTTGGGATTTGTCCCTTTATAATGCAGCTTCAAAACAGGAAAACCAATAGTGGGAATAGACCCCCAAATGTAATTAATTTTGTTGGGGGCTGTGGGGGGGCTGTGGGTGGGGTGGTGGTGGGGGTATTATTGCAGGAGGAAGAATTCTAATCAGTTGCAGATTCCTTCCTGTTTGGTTAGCGTGACCGTGGCCAATTACCAGTGAACTCTGTGTTACAGTTTCACTTCCTGTGCTACCCAAAGAATGGGCTGAGGACGCTGATGCAGAACCGTGGAGGACAGAGCGAGGGAGTGCAAGAGAGAGAAGAGATAGCAGGGAAAAGACAAAACAAAACACATGAAGCCGAGACAGCAGGAAAATAAACAGAAGAGAGGAGGGGGAAGAGAAAGAAAAGGAATGGGGTGGAGGGGAAATCTCCGGCCAGATCTTAGGTGCACATACGTCCTTTATCCACCTAATATAGGACATGACATGTGGTTTCCAAAGGAAATGAAAGGATTTTGGACCTGATTTCTGGAGCTGTTCTCAGGTAAAGGCTGCAACTGCAGAGCAACAGACTTGAACTCAAGGCACAAATGCAATAACGCATAACTCAATCACTGCAGCGATGTTATCGAAAGACACAATTTGGCTTCGCTGTTTTCCCCTAAATGGAATCAAACCACAAGACTGAACAACTGAATGACAATTGGCTGAGGCCCACCTGAATTTGCATAAAGTGTCCTTATTCTTTTTGTTTTTTAAATTTTTTTAGCATGCAGAAGTAACTCAATAAGCTATGGTACTTCCTGGGAAATTCACCATACCTATTAACCCATATACCGCTTTTGGCCAGGCCAGCTGTTTACACCATATTACAACAACATGCCTGAAATGTCAGTCATTGCAGGACTTGAGCCTTTTTTCTTGTTTTTATTGCGTGAATGCTCGCTCGCTTCCACCTCAGCAGGTCGGCAAAAACATGAGATTTTGGTGGGAAGCTAGACTCGGTGCCACCACAGAGATTTCCAGTGACAATCGCTAACAAGCTCCACTGCCAAATTGGTTCCCTTTGGCTTGATTCCACTCCTTAATTCTCTCCTCCCTTACCCCCGATTGCTCCTCCAGAGGGGTCTAGGCTCATAGTTTCCCATCTGTAATAGTTTTTGTGGCATGTTACTCTCCCCAATCTACTCCTATAATTCGCTTTTGATGGCACAGTTTAGTTGTAGTTAGAGGAGCCGTGCACTCTGGAGACAGCATTGGCAGTGGGAAATTAATTGATAAATCCTGTTGTGATCTGATCGGCAGCGCCACCGTAATGCACGTCCTCTATTCATCTTCTTATAAGTTGAAATGGTGGAAAATTTTTAAGGCAGGCACATTTAATTGCTTAAATATAGCACCAGTTGCAGATTGCTACCAAGTTTATTTGTAAGGTATACAATATATCTTACAGATTAGACAGAGGTAATTGCCATTTCAACAGTGTCAGTGATGACACTGCAGATAAATTCAAATAAAAAACAAACATGCCGGGAGTGATAAGAACAAATTTCTTTTCTGGTAAAATTCGAGATATCTGTTTTATATTACACCACAGATGACATGACATTTATTACCATTTCCAGCACAGTTGAAAACATCTCAAGGGGCCCGGTACTGTAGCGGTTACAAGTGGAATAAACTGCTTAGAAGATGTTCAAGGGATGATGCACATAACTGGCAATATGAATGTGAATTCCCTGAGAAGCTTATTTTTGCACACACATACACACACGCACAGAGTGAACAACATGAGAAATGGGCGAAGAGCCATAGTATTCAGTGCAAACTGGAGGGCCCAAGTCGCTAAACTAATCCTAGTACCATAGGATCCCACTTTCAGCCCTGTCTTTTGCTGCAGCTGCCTGGGATCATTTCACAAACACGAGGTATTCCTGGAAGAATTGATTCTGTTAGATAGTACATTGATCACACACATCGCCTGCGGACAGAAGATGGCTTTACAAGCAATAATACGGGAGACAATTATATTATTTTAGTGAAATAAGACAGAGTACAAGCAGCGAGTGCCAATAGCCCAGGCAGGGGGAGGGAGGCACAGGCGGGCCCCCTCTGCGGCTGCCTCGGTGTGTTTGTGCTCCATCCTCAAGTGGCACGGTAATCCACTAAACTTTCCTCCACCCGCTTCCCTCAATGCAATCAGGATGCGAAGGCTCACCAGTGATTGCGTTCATTTGTAAAAGCATCCAAGCCAAAATTGAACCCCAAGGCTGATAAACTATAAAGATGCTGATCAGATCGCAGCTAAGGAGTCCACACTTGAGGGCACGAGGTGTCAGGGCTGGAGCCAAAAGAGCAATGACTCTGTATACCTCACTCAGAGCGAAGCGACTGCCCCGGAATACAAACAAGAGGGGAGAAAACACATAAAGACGACAACAAACTGCGATAGGATTTTTCATCCTGCAGCATCTCCCAGAAGAGGAGGATTTTTAGATGTTTTTTTTCACCCCCTTCCCTTCTTCTGTTTTATGGACTCAGTTGGTAAATGCATTTATTGCTCAGGCTTAAGCAAATGTATTTTATTGATGAATTCTGTGCGAATTTCATAATGCATCTCATGAAAAGCAGAAGCCCAACAGAGATCTTGCAAAGGGAGCTCATATGTTTTCAGCCCTGCAATAGTAAGTTGGAATGAGAGCAATATATAACTATTCAAGTCCGGCCTATTTTGTCTTCCGCCGCTTTGCCCTGTTGTCACCGCACGCACTTGAAGAGTTACTAAAACTTTTTGTCTGTTAGTTATTTCTCACAGCTATTGCCCTGTGTCTTTACTTTAAACACACATCTTCCCCCACCAAAGCACCAAGACTGAGGACAGACAGGGGAGAGGAAAAAAACAAAAAAGAAAGAAAGGCAGGATTTGAGGATCTCCATCCTCGTGGCCCCAGTGCGTTAAATGTCAAAGAGCAGTCAGCGGGAGAGACTGATTCCAGGAGGCGATGTGAATGGGACGATTGAAGACCTGCCTTGATTGACAGCTCCTCCTCTCTCGCTCTGCCCCGAGGGTGATTGACAATGTGGTTCATCTCACATTTTGTGACTGAGCTAATCCAGTAAATTCCTACCAGACGCAGCACAACTCAGCAGAGACCTGCCGCTCCTTTCCCAGGTGGAGCTTTCATTTTATCTTTCGCCCTCTCCCCAAAATAAATATGTTTTTCCATCTGTGGCACTCCAAACAAATTGGGGAGGGGTATGGTTGGGGGGGACTATAATTAAGTGTAAGTACATAATTAAGCGAGTTTAGAAAAGTGCTAGTTTTCTATGAATTAAAATGTAGACTAATTACATGTGGGAATTAGCCTGCTGTTGTGCTAGTGATTAATATTGTCATAGGTTACTGTCTCAATATGCTGCCAGTTAGAAATGGGATCACCTCACTGGAACGATTGATCTCTTGCCAAGTTCAATAATTAATTGACTCAACAATCACTGACATGCAACTATCTCACACGTCGTCTCCTATGCCCACAAGGTGCGTCGCTCGTCCTCTTGACCTTGCACCTGTATTTTGACGCACGCCTGTTCCCAGAAAGTCGCTTCCGCCGCACTGCAGCTGGCTTTTCAAAGACGAAAGGAGACACGAGTGCAACATAAATAAAGAAGAACAATGAACTTAGAAGACCCTCGACCTTGTTTTTGGGTGTGTGTGTGCACCGTTGCCAGTAGAGCCCGAGAGTTGTTGCAGTTTAGTTTTTTCTTTTTTTGGGGGCCTTCTTGACAGCCGCGACCCACATTAGTGCAGCAGCTCCGTAAGGAGAGAAATGGGGGAAATACCGTATTTGATGGTTTCATTAATCATCATTCCTAAATTATCACTAAAGCGAGGGTGTGCGTTTAAGAATGATTAATTGCAGAGTGAGGCTAATCAAGCAGTGAATTACCTGCCTGCTCTTTTTGCAGGAGGTTGGTGTTCACCTCAAATGCAAAGCAAAACGGTGTCACGGAAAATCAGTCAGAGATACTAATCGGTGAAGGCCCTTTGTTTAAAAAAACAAAGAGACACACATTGTGACGTCATGTAAAAACGACTCTCCAGAACATACCGGAAGAATGCTCCTCCTACTGTTCTGAAAACCATACACTAATACTGAAAGATAAGGCTTTTAAAATGTAACCCCCGGTTCTATGAATCCAAAACTGTGTTGATCTGTGAAATCTTTGTAAATGACGAGGCTGAGAAAATGTTCTGGGCTGCTGCGGTGCTAATGTCTTAAAAGTTTCTATCTTTAATTACTAAGCACAGCATTAACATCAATAATTCTCTGTCTTGGTACAGGTGGCTCCTGTGATCTGCCCGAGCAGAGCCCAGACAATACCCCAGTGTGTACAGATCAGGTGTTTAACTTATAAGCATGATGAAAGCCTCGGCAACCAGTTGCGACAATGGCAAAGTGAGATAATAGCCCGCCAAGATGAGCCGCGGATGACTTGTACAAGCATCAAACTTTCACGGTGCATTGCACACTCTGAATGGTATGCTTTTGAAGTCAGAGACTCTCAGGGGTGTGGCAGACGTTGTCTGGTCCACCTCACCGTGTTGGGTTATTAGGCCACTGCTTTGGCTCACACTAAGGCGCTTTCTGATAAGGTTTAGTATTCGTGACATTCAAACGCGTGCGATGTGACCAGATCCTTGAGAAAGGAATAAGTATAGCATTAAAATATACCCCATAATTTGACTCATGCTTCAGAGCCAGCGCTCATTTGGAGGCAAATATTTTGTTCACATACACAAATGAGCCCTCCTAATTGCACGATTTTATGCACAATTCAAATTCAAATCATTCCTTCTTGACACAGCCAATACATCTGTCACGCGGCTCCTCATTTTTTTGTTGAATAATTAAAAAAAGAAATAGAGAAACATACTAATGAGGGAACCTTACTTGAGGGCTTTGACGCTCCACTGACTATCATATTAATGTATTCCTGTGTGAATTAAACGCATCATCAAACACCTAAGTTCCCTCCATATTTTCCTCTGAAGACAAGGGCTGGACAC